GGTACCAAACACTCAGCTCTCACCACCGCCTGCCCATCCTCGTCGGGCGGCTTTGCACATGAACCCTCTTGCTTCAGGCTCCTAGCCGCCCCCTCTCGCGGCGCCGCTCCCGGCATCTCCCCTCCTCTCCCCCCATCGCCCACGCTGCACCTGCTCGCTTTCGGATCCGGCAAGTGCAATCTTGCAAGTTATCGTTCGCATCACGAGCCCGCAACGGCACCCGGTAAACCACGCACATGCGTCTAACGATCTTCACCGCCAACGTTGAACTAGGGCCATCTCTGCCGGCATCTGCCCGAATACGGCTACCCCGGCCAGTCGTTTAAGACGCTGCATCCCATATTACGACATCTGGCTACCTCCGAGCTTCAGAGCACAATCCCACGTGCGCCCAGCTCCCCGTCGTCTACGCGAACAGGATCACCCACTACTTCGCTATAAGGTAGCTCGCCCGGTATTGACAACTTTAGACGAACCTCCTCCTTTTTTCCTTTTCCACCACAATCTCTCACCTGACGACTCACGAGCTCGGAACAATGTCTCAGTCCATCAATGTAACTACGACTCAGGCCCAGTCCGGCATCTCCCAAGACCTGCGGAACAACATTTACTCGGCCCTTCTTTCTGGCGATGGCATCCGCAATATTGAATCCACCCTAGACGAATCCCTGCGGGCCTCTGGGTTCAAAGACGATCTAAGAGCCTACATTACCGATCTGTTCCGCTCGGGCCAGGCTACTACCTGCGAGGAAGCCCGGAATCTGGCGATGCAGAAGATCAGAGAGCAAACGCGTGGTTTGGAGGATCAATCCAATGGTATCAACGGCACCAACGGAACGACGAATGGAGATGGAGAGAATGGAGAGGAGGTCAACTTGAAAATTCCGAAATCCGCAATTGACGCCGGTGCAAAGACAGTCATGAAGGAGTTGGAGAAGGTGTGCGACATCACATACGAAGACGACAAGTGATCGCCCCTCCTGTAATCTGAGAAAGAGTCCACCTTCCATGCCACAGCAAAATGCAGGCTCGTGTCGCCCGAGTCAGTGTAGTTGAAGGGGAAGTCTTCAGAGCAAAGGCCTTAACGAACGATACTATCGAGCGCACAGCCGACACCGTTGCAATGTGGGGCGGGCGACATCGTTCAACGGCACCGATGGGTTCCGGCCGCTGTCTCGGGTGATCAAAGACCTCGCCTGTGCCCATGAAACCTTGCTTCATGACCGCTGCGCCAAGTGGACAGCGTTGAATCAACCATGTTGGAGGCTCGGCCGTTCGTTGAGTATGGATGATTGGTGTAAAAAGTGCACGGTGATGGAAAAGGGAGTCAGGTCAGAGGTAGTAACACAGATCGATACAAGGACATAGTAGGCGCAGCAAAAGTTCATTGATAACATGCATTCTCATTGAGGCCATTGGTTCGTGAAAGATACTACTGATATCCTGTCAAAGCGCTAGCAATTACGCGCGCCTCCATCTATCTATGAGACGTCAATCGCCCCTCATGCCGTGTGATGATGAAAAAGGGAAACCCATCCGTCATGATCCTGCAACTGTCTAGTTGTACAGGTCCTCGTCCTCACCACCAGCGCCGAAAGTGTTCTGCTCACCGCCACCCGCTGCGTTCTCAGCGTCGGGGAAGCGGAAGAAGCTTGATCCACCAGAGTTCTTCATTGACTGTGCAAAGGCCTCGTACCGGCGGATCTCAACATCGGTGACGGAGCGACGAGCGGAGCGCATGGCCTCCTCGAAGTGAGCCTTGGTCAGCACAGGTACTGGGTCCTCCTCGTCTACCTCCATGTCGACATCCTCACCAGCAGCCTCGCGAGCCTTGCGGCGCTCGATGTCAATCGCGATAGACTGCTTAATGGCGAGCTTGACCGCACGCTGGGTGACGAATCCAAGATCGGCACCGGAGAATCCGTGGGTGTTCTGGGCGATGAAGTCGATGTTGACATCCTCGGCGACAGGGGTCTTGCGAAGCTGAGCCTTGATGATGCTGGCACGCGACGCCAGGTCGGGCAGAGGAACGTAGACGAGAGTGTCAAGACGACCAGGACGGCACAGAGCATTGTCGAGCTGTTCCGGTCGGTTGGTGGCACCGATGACGAAGACGTTCTTCTTCGATGTCATACCGTCCATCTCGGTAAGAAGCTGGTTGACGACACGGTCAGACGCACCACCGGCATCGCCTTGAGATCCACCACGCGACTTGGCAATAGAGTCCAACTCGTCCAGGAAGACGACGCAAGGTGCGGCGGCACGCGCCTTGTCGAAGATGTCACGGATGTTGCTCTCAGACTCACCGAACCACATGGAGAGCAGCTCGGGACCCTTGATGGAGATGAAGTTGGCCGCGCACTCGTTGGCAACAGCTTTGGCAAGAAGCGTCTTACCAGTACCAGGAGGACCGTAGAACAGTACACCTCGCGATGGAGACATACCGAACTTGAGGAACTTGTCGGGGTGGTCAACTGGGTACTGCACGGACTCAATGAGCTCGCGCTTGACTTCCTCCAGACCACCAATGTCCTCCCACCGGACGTTGGGAACCTCGACAACGGCGACCTCACGAAGGGCTGATGGGTTGGATACGCCAAGAGCGAAACGGAAGTTCTCCATGGTCACGCCCAGTGAGTCCAGAACCTCGGCGTCGATTGTGTCCTCGTCGAGATCGATGAGATCCATCTTCTCACGAATCTGTTGCATAGCAGCCTCAGAGCAGAGCGAAGCCAAATCAGAACCAACGTAACCGTGAGTCTCAGCAGCGATAGTTTGTAGGTCGACATCGTCACCGAGCTTCATGTTCTTGGTATGGATCTGCATGATCTCGAGACGGCCGGTTGGGTCGGGAATACCGATATCGACTTCACGGTCGAAACGTCCGAAACGACGGAGGGCGGGGTCGATGGAGTTGGGTCGGTTGGTGGCGGCCATAACAACAACGTTGGAGCGAGCCTTCATACCGTCCATGAGGGTGAGCAGTTGCGAGACGACACGGCGCTCGACTTCACCGTTGGTCTTCTCACGCTTGGGCGCGATGGAGTCGATTTCATCAATGAAGATGATCGCGGGGGAGTTCTTCTCAGCCTCCTCGAACGCCTTGCGCAGATTTGACTCTGACTCTCCGGCCATCTTGGACATGATCTCGGGACCGTTGATCAGGAAGAAGAAAGCACCGGTCTCGTTGGCGACGGCACGAGCCATCAATGTCTTACCGGTACCGGGAGGACCGTACATCAAGATACCACGCGGAGGCTTGATACCGATGGACTTGAAGAGCTGAGGATGCCTCAGTGGCAACTCAACCAACTCTCGGATCTGCGCCATCTGCTTTCGGCAGCCACCAATGTCGTCGTAGCCAACCTCGTTGAGGTTACCCTCCTCGTCCTCGCGCTGGATGGGCTCGCCCTCGCAGTGGATGACCGTATCTTGTGCGACGATACCGAACTCTGGTGGATCGACCTCGACGACCTTGAACTCCACTTGTCGCATACCGCCGCGGGCTGTGAATGTGTCGCCTTGACGAACCGGTCGGTAGGCTTCGCGGAAGTATGGGGCGAGGAAAACGTCGAACAGCGAACCAGTGATACCCTCGACGGTGTCGGCGATGGGAAGGACTGCAATGCGCTTGGCCTGCAATGGAGTTAGCTTTGAACCAGCATTTCAGAGATGTAGCTACGTACGTATTTGATGTCAGGGCACGGGTGGATGGTGATAACATCACCGTGCTTGACACGCAGGTTGTGGCGAACGACACGGTTTATCCGCGCAGAGCCATCGTCGAGGTCGTCGTCGGCGAGCACGATAAGAACGGTGTCCTTCCGCTTCTTGCCCTTGACGAGGACTGTGTCACCACGGAAGAGCTGGAGCGTCTCCATGGTGTTGTTTGAGAGGGCGATAATCGAGTTGTCATCGTTGACGGCGTCGGTGACACTGCGGAGTCAGTATGGCTTCTTTGTGTCGCTTCGTGGCGTACTTACATCAGCGAGTTTGGCTTCTTCTTCTTCTTGAGGATGGCAGTTGCGGTCTCGTCGTTCTGTGGCGGATCAGTAAAGGCGCTCTCAGATGGGTGTTTGGCAGTGCCTACATCCTTGGGCTCAGCGCCATCGGGGTTCCTGGAGTCTTGTTAGTCGCGGTTGCAGACAGGCGGCTGGTGGCAATGCACGTACTTGGAAAGATCCACCTTCGGCTTGGAGTGGTCTGGTTCAGCGGACATCTTGCTGATGTGTCTCTATGGAATGCTGCGACTGTACTTTTCCGGTGCAAAGAGGGACGCCGGGATTTGCAGCGCGGTAGAATGGGTTGTGGGTGGGGTGGGGGGTAAGATGGAGGTGATGGGTCTTTGGTGTTTGGGGCGTGGTGGTTTAAGTAAGTTGGAGCTTGAACAGTGTCGGTGATCTCACTGCTCGAGCTAGCTTGATGTTGCCTTAGGGTCCGTGCTCCTTCCGCCGCCGCAACATTGGAAGTTGCTGGAAACGCTTAGACAAGCCGGCCTACTGGAAACACTGTGTCCCTTTCACCGTCAATTGCTTCCCGCCTCCCTCGGAAAGGCCCCATGCGGACCAATCAGGCCCGCTTTGTGCTACTCTTCGCATCTCCAGGGTGAGACTGGCGTTGTTACGCGTCCGACTGGAGCCTGCTGCAGCCTCATTCGCGCCACCAAAACGCCAAGAAAGTCTCCATATCGGTCCTTCGTCAGTGCGCGCGATAAGTAAACCTACATGTCCGTCAGGCACACGTAGACCATAGCAGTACTGGTACCCGTCCAACGCTTGCCAAATCCTATGCGTACCATGGGTAGCTATGGCAGCTACTCTCTGGTACACATATAAGGAAAGAACCCTTGCTGTTTCACATCACAATACTTCTAGATGTTTTAAGATTGGCGATGGTTCGCCTGCATATTCTAGCCTTTCAGGCTGCTGGCTGCTTTATGATCCCTGGCCTCATAGATATGTATTAGGATATACCAACTTCTTGCACTGCACTAGACACATTCACACGTCCTGCTGTTGCATTCCAGCAGACGCTGCACATGCTTTCTTCTCCATCTCGCGCAAGCATGGCGCTTGGAACATATTGCCATATAAGATATTCTTCACAGTACCGACAGCGACTAGTAGCCACAGAAGTATGACACTGACACCAAGTACCGTACCTAGAACTCTGAAGAACGCGGATGGCAGTTCTTGGCCGATGGTAATGGTCGACATCGTGAAGACGCCAATGGGAAAGGTAAAGCCCCACCAACCCATATTGAAAGGGAACTTGCTCCGACTGATTGACGCGACTGCGAAGAATAGCCATACCAAGCCAAAGCCCCATAGCGTGATGGCGGTCATCCAAGCTAGGACGTAGAGAACTTCGCCGGCCATTGGATGCAACGTGTTCGTCTCTGGAAAGGTCTTTGAGGCTTGGATTCCGAGTTTCAAAGCGGCGTATCCGCCCTGTCCCATAGGTCCAAGAGGCAGGAAGACACTGACGATCACTTCCTGAGATGGGAGATTATGGATAGCGAGACGGTGGAAGTACATCACCATGACCATGAGTGCCAGTGGCACGCCCATACCCCACAGCACATAGCTGGTGACTATGGTTATGAGGGCGTGGTTTGGCTCAGGTAGCACTGACGCGACAACGCCACCAGAAGCTGCTGCAACAATACAGGCTACAATGGGTAGGAGCCATGCTGCTGTCATCGTCTCATGGCGATTATGGTGTTTCGTCATCCTGTTGCTATGTTAGCTAGTGATGTTACTTCGTTTTTCTTTTTGACCTCGAACACACAGTGCCAGACTGTTACGATCGAAAGCAAGCATGGATCAACTTACATTTGAAAAGGTAGCCAGAGACAACAGGCGACGCTCAGCGCAACATCGAGCCACCACATTCCCCAAACAACATACGGCGTCGAACCACCCCAAGCTGGTACGCAAACCGTAGCGAACATGTTGATGATGGTAGCGAATCCCATGGGTATTGTGCCGAGAAAGAGCGATTGCACCGGATGCTGAAGCATCAGCGTCCATGTGGCGGGGTACAGTGCGTATCTTAGGATGGATATCAAGAGTATGATGGAGAATATGAGGACGTTCAAGATGAAGAACGCGATACTGAGGGTTCTCGGCGAGCCGTGGTAACGAGGGTAGAGCTCAGAGAAGGCATTGAGCAAGATCGCGACGATGCCTGTACCCATCGTAACAGCAAACTAGGCTTCGGTCAGTCTTGTGTTCTGCTAAAGCTGCGAGGGATTATCGTACCCATGATGGAGTGAAGTTTTGGACAACGCGTCGCCAGCCCCGACGGTCGGCAGGTATCAGCCACTTGGGCAGCACTTGAGCATCTGCAGATTGTTCCTTGCCGCGACATGTTTCTCCCGGCCGTAGATGAGCCTCACGTTGTATCGCACATGGTGTTGACATTCTGATGAGATCTGACTGGAGGGTTGGGGTTGGAAGAGACCACGGGTGATTGACAATGAGAGATTGAAATCAGAGAAGAGGAGATCACACTTCACTTATACAAAGAACCGTAGCTTAGAGTCATCATGTTTCCAGGCTAGACTTTTCTTTCTTCACAATCGCCTGTATCTTCGTCGAGATTTGCTGATTATACGGCTTGCACAGGCCACAACGGCCGGTTCCTCGGCGACGGTCCGAACTTCGTTACGTCAAACTCGATTACTCACACCATCGCGATAACGTTAGGAAACAGTTCTGTTCATCCACGAATGTTGTGCTAACGATTTTCTGGTTGCCATGATTGCGTGATGAAGGGTTTACAGACTGAAGCAAGGAGTCCTTGAGCAATCCGGAAGGGATGATTGATGCTAGCTGAACTAGGTCTAGAGCAAATTGCGGCTTCCGGACTGCCCATGTGCGGAGGTGCGGGCAGACAAGAGCACTTCACGGGCCTACTCGTGGTCTTCGCACTCCAGCCCTGATGAACCTCATCGCTGCAACGTGGTGTCCTGCTCCGCACCGCGGTAGTCGCACCTGCGGGTGGACAAGCAACTCTCGCTGTCAATGCACACGCGTTTACCTAGGGAGTTACATCGCGAAACAACACCTGCTTCGGCATAGTGTATCGGTATTGCTGACGTTACTTCCACGGGCCTACCTCCTCACCGGCAACGTCGCGTTCGTTGCTTCACTGCCAGCCAATAGGGGCGTCATCTCTCCTTCTTCCGTCGTAGCACTTTCGCAACCTATACCATGTACATGCTCACGGGTTTCGTCAGGTATGAGAGATTCCAACCCTATATCAAAATATACCACATCGCGAGCTAACAAGTTGTGTCAAGCCTACGGGTCGAATGTCCCCAATGCGGCTCTGTATTCCTTTCATCGGAAGAGTTAAGACTACATGAATCGATTACACACAACTTCTGTCAAGAATGTTGCCACGAGTTTTCCAACTGGACAGAGCTGAAGTATCATTTCCGTAAACGCGGTTGTGCTTACGTTTGTGACGGGTGCGATGGAATTTGGAGGACTGCTTGGACTTTTCAACAGCATGTTGCAGCATTCAACGTTTGCAAGGTATGCGAGCGGCACTTCGACACACCCTCGAATCTAATCCATGTAAGTCAAGACCAGCTATCGGGATGCAACCAAGGCTAATTGCGAATTACAGCACGAATTGACGCACCGCAAACCTGGCTATGAGTGTCTCGGCTGTACACGCAATTTCACAACCTACGGAGGAATGATCATCCACCTTGAATCTGGTGCCTGTTCTTCCGGTATAGACGCGTACGACTTGGCGCTCACCACCGCGAGATGCTTCCAAGGAGGCAAATTCTTCATGCACAAGGAAGATCGAGAGGCCATCAAGCAGGGCATCGACTTGCTGCGAATATTCCGTGAGCAAGGTGGTAGCACTCTTGTCTTCTGTTGTCCTACTTGCGGCACCAATTTTCCGAAATTATCGAGTATGTTCATGCACGTGGAATCGCTTGCTTGCTCTCAACAGCTGGGCGAAGGGGCAGTTGGCAAGCTCCAAACGTGGCTTTCTAACTGTCACGGTTGAAGAACAGCTTCACGACGAGGTTATTACTCATCTTGACGTTACCAGATACCAGCAACTTCTATGATGTACATTAACAACGTCCGCGGGTATCCGCATTTGACCTTCATAAAGGCTGGTCAGAATTCGTGTCGCATCTTGCTGCATACACATCAGAGAATCTTGAAAAATGAATGCTTAACAGAGTCATGTATCCTTTGCACGAAAAATGCGACACGAGCTGTTGCAGAAACAATACATGTGTTCGGTATTACTTTTCACGCAAGCTACCTCGATACTTATAAAGTTTGTAGATTCGAGCCAGTGGCATTCATCTTCGCCTCTGCCATCAACATCCTCTTCTGGTCCAGGTCGAAAACGATATACGCCCCTTGCATGAATGGGGCACCCAGGCTCGCGAAATCGTCTCCATCCGAAGGAAACATCGGTAGATAGCACCGGGTTCCGCTTGAGGACGAGACGCGTACCAGCATGGCAGCCAAAGGGGTGCTGACTTTCGCTCGGTTATTGTTGAAACCGAATGAAAGGCTCTCTCCGCGAGAGCCTAAGTCGCACGACACACTACCCAGTCGACCAGCCTGCTCATCGAACGTCGTACCTACAGCCATAGCTATAGCGCGGAGTGAGGCTGAGGGGACATTCAGTGCCGGGTTTCCGGTATCGATCAACACTGGGGGCAGACCGCCTCGTGGTGCCAGGTCGACATTCGAGCCGGAGAGAGAGGAGTCGCCGCCCACTAGCTGCATGGAGCTCCAATCAATCACAAATTTCGATGCGACTCCATTGTTGTTCAGCAAGAACGACCCTGCATCTTGGAGTTGACCTTGGAACTTTGCCGTGTCAACGCCACCAAACACAATGGAGCCTTCTGGGCTACCTGTCGAAACTTTTGTCAGTGGGATACACGGTACAGTAGATACCGCGACTCACGGAAGTCATTCATGTAGACACCATACACATTGGCGTCGGTCGCGCCAGCATCTTTGAGTTTGGCGGGCGCGTTCTGGTAAGTCGGCCGAACGACTTCATTATCAACAGGTCCGATCCCTAAGATAGGGAACAGTGGAGTGTCGGCTGGTAGGGAACCTTGTTCGATAACTCCCAGCTGCGCATTAGATATTGTCTGCTTCCCGAGTGTCAATGCGGTAGAAATGAATCGCCCTCGGAACGCAGCGCCATTAGCGAAATCGGTGTTTAGTCCGATGCCAACGTCTCTGAGACTACTATCCTTGTCCGTGTCGAATGAGCCAGTGACGAAAGGAGTGCCGGAGCATTGTTGCTGTTGGTTCTGACAGATACTACTGCCGGTCCTTGGAATGATGAGATCGCTGCTCCCCGTATCCAAAACTGCTGTTATCGACTGCGGCGGCGTACCGACTCCTATCGAGATGAGAGGAACGAATGAACCGGCATTATCGATATGCTTGATAGGTATTGACAAGAGTTTCGGAGTTTGCGCCCGTGCAATTTGCACACCAACGAGGAAAGATATGCAGAAGGCGACGGTAGAGAGCGGAGATGCCATAGCAAGCAAGTAGGACGAATGCACCGACAGAGATGAATGTAACTGATGATGTAGTAGAGTTGCTGGAGGACTAGTCGGACCGGAATGACCTCGCCGTACTTACTTTTGGCGAGCATATCTATACCCAACACACTGGAATCCTACCGAGTATCCCGTAGACGATTAGTCGAGTCATACCGTCTTTGGTAGAATCGGAAGGAGTCCTTTCGCAATGTCGATGCTAATCGTTCAAACTCGAAGGCCAGCAAAAGCACCACCCATTGGCCAGCCTCGAGCCCGTCAATTAAGAATCCCCACAATCGCTGGAAATATCTCTATCGCAATAATCTACCTGACGGCTGCTAGAGAGGTCAAAAACACAGGTGTGGCAAAGTTGCCCGCAAAGGGTCAAGTCTGCCGACAAATGTGAAGGTATCTTGCAGCAATAGTACAGGATGCCTTGTCCGCAACCGTGGCTACATCGGAGCTACAGACACCGCGGGCTTCCCACATAGATTACTTGTTTCGGAGGATGTTTCACCTCGAATCAGTGGGAGCAAAATGAAAGAGAGCGAAAATGTAGCAAAAAGAGAGTTGTCTCCCCACCATGAGTCGAACAAGGGACCTTCTGATAACAGCAGATATTACAGTCAGACGCTCTAAACCAACTGAGCTACGGGGAGAATACTTCAAAGCGAAGTCGTGCTTGCTGGATGGAAATTTTGACAAATTTGTCATATATTATGGCGTGTGCGTGGCAAAATTCACGGACTTCGGGTTGTGGCGCGCTGATATGCAAGAGTGGGGTCGAAGCGTTCGTGTTCCCAACTCGCCGATTGCTGACCTCGGAACTCAAAGCGAAGAACACGACACGAACCGATTCGGAGACACCTAACATCTATATCTGAGTGGAGTTCGATATCATTATCTACAAACCATGCCTTCCCCTATAACCGCCAAACAATCGCTAGAATACACGACTTGAACTATCACTCCTAGCCCCGCCACACCGCTTCAAGCACGCACATGAAGCTCAGCGGGTCTGCTTCCACTCTAACAACATCAAACCTCTCATCAGCCCGCTTGAAGACATCCTTCCACGCCTCGACAGGCCTCTCCTTCGCATTGAACAGCGCCATCATCCTAAGATCAGTAGCTGTACCAAAGCCCTGTATACTCCTCGGTAATTCCTCCTCGCTCGGTCCCTGCTTGCCAACGTAGTCAATGAAGATGACGCGCGCACCGGGTTTGAGTGCAGGCCGAAGCGCTTGTAGTATCTTTACTGACTCGACGTCTGGCCAGTCGTGGAGAATCCACTTGAGGATGTAGATGTCTGCTTCTACGGGCTGCGGATCGAACATGTTGTATGTGCGGAAGGAAACGCGGGATTTGAGCTCGGATGGGAACTCTTTCTCGAATACTGGGGCGACTTCTGGAAGGTCTTCGACGACGATTTTGAGCTTGGGGAATCTGGCTGCGAGGACGGCGTCGTCGTGGCCTGCTGAACCGCCGATCTAATCGTTGTTAGTAACTGGAATGATGCTGAGATCAGCAGATACTCACATTAACAACTGTGGCTTCACCGGCAGCCTCCCAATCAACAGCATTGAGCATGATGTTCTCGGTGTGGAAGAGGTCCTTGATGTACGCCATGAACTTGACAAAGTTCCTCTGCCGCCATCCCTTTTTTTCACCTTCGCCATCGTTCTCAATGAAGTCTCAGCTGTTATCATAGTCACCCCACGCACCGCCAGAGTGACAGAGTCTGAAAGCGGTCTCTTTAATATCTTTACTCGGTTCCGCCTTTCCTTGCGAAAAGCGACGCAGAGCTTCAGGGAGCAAGAGCATAGGTGGACCCGTTTCACCCAACACTGTCTGCACCAGCGCTGACAAGCCAGGGTCCTTAGCCAGTGCGGCAGATCGCGAAGTGTGTTTGACTGAGGTAGCTGCAGGCGAGTCTCTGGTGAAGAAACGCATCGTAATCGCATGATCGATGACCCGGCTTACGACCTCAAGAGGGAGCTTGGTATGCTTTGCTATCTCCTTGAGCGTTGCCTCGCCATCGACCGGCACTGCACCCCAGAAGTCGAACTGGTTCAGGATGTTCAAGCACGCCGTGTCTGGGACGGCCATGTGCACGTAGTTGAACACACTCTCGCTCGGTCCTTGGCTGAGAATCCACATGTCCTTCAATGCATCCTCGAGAAGTTGTCGGGTCATGAAGACATCCCCAGGAAGTTTCTCGTACTTGATTGGACTGTCGGCCTCAAGAGTGATCGGTGTCACGTTCTCCGCCTCCAGCTGCTTCGTCATCTTAGCAGCTAGCTCGCTGATTTGAGCCGCGAGGCTGTTGAGTGTTGCGATCTCATGCTGTTGAATAGAACCCATGTCGAAGTCGTCTGGATCAGACTTGGAGCACTCGAAGGCTTGGAGCACTCGAAGGCTTGGAGCACTCGAAGGCTTGGAGTAGGGGAAGCTGTGCCCTTCGTTTGAGGTACAACTATGGCCGCTATATGTCAACTCTCGCCGGGACCCGAGTAGGAGCTGTCTCCGTCATCCGGACAGAAGAGCTCCAATACATGGATCATACACTAGTATTTTCTCATCATGCTATACTCTGCGTCTTTTGCTCATGGCAACTGGCTAGCCAAAACGATTGTAGACGACGGAGGATGCAGCTTTTGATTGGTACGAATCAAGTAGGCAGTCGCGCGAAGAGAGTATAGGGCTAGAGCGAGCTCGGAGTCGCATCCGTAAACATGTACCATCAAGCCACGATGTTGTGGCCGCTGCATCGCGAGTGGTACGATGATGGAGCCGACGAGCGCTAATCAGATCATCTTATCAATCTGATAAGATTTCTTCCAGATCTAGGCCTGGGTCGCCGAAGCAAGCCACTTCAGCTGCTGCCGCTTACAGGCAGCGCCCCGCATCACGCGTGAGTCTGAACGAAAATGAATACGACCATTGTGGGCCCTATCATGATGATTAGTGATAATTTATCCTGAACTGCGACTGTGATGAAGCGTGAGAACTCGACGGAGAAACATATCACAGATGCACGACATTGGGTTGGTGACATCATATTCCAACACACGCGCTCTTGAAGGACCTCTAGTCCTGGAATTACAAGGGTAAATGCGTTTTATTTCGAGACATACCACGTCTCTCAGACGAATGTATACGTCGACTCCATATCAACATCGCGGCTCATTTATGTCGTCTAGAATAGCTCATCTAAACCCCGCAGCGCTATGCAAGCACAAATCCATCAACCCCCCAATTAAACATTCGATCCAAAGAAATATGATAATGTCAACATCCTATTTTCGTCCAATGAGCTTGCTGAGCCCACTCTTCTTCTTCCCGTCCTTCTCCTTCTGGTCTTCCTCCTTTACGCGCGCATCCTCGGCGGCACGCTCGTCCTTTGTCGGTACTCTAGGCTGGTCCGCGAAGCGAATACCGGGTGTGCGTGGGGTAGGTGAGAGTGTCTTCTGGCTAGGCTCAGCGGCACGTGAGTGTGTACCACGGCCAGTCTCCATTGGGTCACCAGTCTCCTCATCTTCGGAGTCAGACTCGGGAGTATCGTCTTTGCCGACACCGAGAGCGCCCAGACGACGCCTTCGCTCCGCTGCTGTTTCGCCTTCAAACCCTTCTTCAGGCTCATGTGATGGTGGAATAGCGGAACCGCCTGAAGTTTCAGCTGGAATATTCTCTGCAGCTAGGCGCCGTCGGCGTTGTGCCGCAGTCTCGCCACCCTGATCATTAGGTCGGTCCTCGAGATCCTGGCGTACAGAGTGGAATGGTACATGCTCGTCGTTACTGTCCACGAGCGTCAACCCTTCGGGGCCACGTGCGTGACCCTCCTCCCTGGCTGCTGGCGACTCGATCTTGTGAAGTTCTGCCTCTCCCTCTTCGCCGACAACCGGGGGAACGTTCGCTTGCACGGAAGCTGCCCGACGGCGCTGTTCTGCAGTGTGATCTTTGGCGTCCTGATGGGCGGCATCCTTGACTGCTTCAGGAACATCGCTAGCTTGCACAAACTTCGCCCTGTCTTTGGGGTTCATTTGCGACATTTGCTGAATAAACTCAAGCTTGCTCATGCGACGACCACCAGCTGTCACGGTGAAGCGAAGTAGGTCGTCATCTTCCTGCTCTTTCGCCGCCAATTCCGCTGCCTTCTGCTTCTTTTTGTTATTTGCGGCTTGAGTGCCGGATGCTCCAGCTTGTTGCCCCGCCGGCACGCCCATGTGAGTTCCCATCCGCTTCAAACTCTGTACAGCACGGCTTGACGTCTCCACCATGGACTGACCGCGAGGGTTTGCAGGACGACCATCCTTTCCTTTCTTCGGGGCAGCTGGAATGTCATACTTCTTTAAGACCTCACCATCCTCGTCTTCGACAATAATGGTATTACCATATTGGTAAGCAAGAGCGGGGCCATGCTTTCCGGACTTTTGTGCCGACTTCTCCGCCTTTGGAGGTTCCGCAGCCTTGTCCTTGTGACCATGGCCTGTGTAGCTTTGCATTCGATTGCGCCAGGTTTTGTGAGGGTGTTCAATGGCGTTCTCAATCCGGCTAGGTGCTTCTTCAAGGGCACCGCCGTGCTCGTCTTGTGACACGCCACCCTGAACATGCTTTTGACGCATGAGCTCTTGTGCCCTCTCACTATCGTGCCTTTGCCTCTCCATGCCGTGCTCGCCATGACTGTCTCTTACGCCGAGAACGTTCCCTTCTTTGTCTTCAAAGACGGTTTCATGGCCCTCCTGGTAGATCTCTTCCTCTGGTATCCGCCTCTTCATCTTTCCTTTCTCGCTTGACGAACTGTCGCTGGAGATAGCTATCGTGTCAGCAAAGGTATCGGTGTCTTCCTCAGGAGGTATCGCTTCCGCCTTCTCTTCGTCGCGTTTACTGGGGGCGATAGCGGACTGCGAAATGGGTCCACCTGGACCTCGACCAGCATCCCAACGCCTTCCTCGGCTCGTAGGCTTGACAGAGTTGCTGTCCTCTTCCTTCTGACGGCGCAGGAAGCTATTACCAAAACCCACCGCTGCGAGTTCCGACTTTTCATCCAATGATGATTCCGAGGGGCGGCGAGCCATGGAGGATCTGGAGCGTGATTGAATACGGGGAAGGCGGTCCATCCAGCCGGGTCCATTCTCGTTGGCCTGAGTATAAGACATCGAGATTGTCAAAGTGTTGATGCGCTTTCCAAGGGTGAAGACGGCGATGGAACTTCCGTGGACAATGATACTGACAATGACCAAGAAACATGTGATTGGCCATATCATCTCAATAATGTTCAAGTGGTCGGATCCTTCCTCTCCTGGCTTTGGCAATTCGGCCAGCGGGCTCGTGGTATCGGTCTCGAGTTCGGCCCTTGCAAGGATTGCGACAAACAGACCGCCGACACCAATGGGTCCGAAATGACCAGCGAAAGAAGCTTCGCGCCAGGTCTTGATGTCGGGAATGACTGGTTTGAGTGCCAACATGACTGGTATACGACGGAAGAAAAGTACCAGTAGACCAAGCACCACCAAACGCCAGGGCGAAAGCCCGATGCTTGGCTCGTTAAACAATTGCCAGGGAATGATGGATCCGAAGTAGACGAAGAAGGCCAAGTTGATCAGCAGATCAATAACGTTGGAGACGTGAGATTCTTCTGTCTTCTCAAGGAACCATCCGTCGTTGGAGAAACCCACACCGCAGGCGAAGCCCACAAGCAGATCGTCCATACCAAGTAGGGCACCGGAACCAGCGCAAAACAAGGCCAGGACGAAGTAGAACACGAGGAAACTCTCTCGATCGATGAGGTCCTTCTCGTGGGCCCATCGAATCGCGCGACGCGCAATGTATCCGACCATGACTCCGTAGAAGGCACCGAAGACACACTCGTACAGGATAGTGTAGCAGAACCAGTGGAAGGCTACCTGGTTAGCGTCTGGCCGGTAGTGGAGCAAGTAAATGGCCAAGTACACGAAGGGAAAAGCCATGCCATCGTTGCAGCCAGATTCACAGGACAGCAAATCTCGAAGATGCTTGGGTACTCGCTTGGCGAACTTGCCTTTACCAACGACGGACGATGCCAAGACAGGGTCGGTGGCGGTAACGCAAGCTGCAATGCACAGACTGTCAAGCCAGTTGAGGTGGGAGTTGAACAAGCCCCAGATGAATAGGCTAGTCACTAGCCAGCCAAAGGTCATGACGGGGAGCAGTAGTGCTACGATAGACTTCCAATGTTTCTCCATGTACGCGCGAGGCAACTCGACACCGACGGCGAAACATTGCACGACAAGGACGATGCGCGAGAACTCCAGAGTGATCAAGTCGACATTGCCCCAAGTCGACGGGTCTATCAGGTTGGCGGCGTGTGGGCCAAATATGATACCACAGATGGTCGCGACCGTGGCTTCACCAATGTACAGACGCTCTTTGATCACGGAAGAACACAGCATGAACAGACTGGTGAAGCCTCCAAGGATCAGGTAAACCAGATGCGGCTTGGTGATGGAGAGATGGTCCCACGCCATTGCGACGGTTTGTTCCTCTCACTGTCCCTCAGGCTTATACGAGGTGTGTATGTGTAGGCGCGAAGACGTTTCGACGCGCTCGATGGGTTGGAGGGTAGGCGAGCGAGGGTCTCGCGGGCGAGAGACTGTTATGTAGGGAGGAAGTTGGCACTGGGGCCGCGCTGTCGTGGGAGTCGGCCAAAGGAAGAGAAAGATGGTAGCGAGACCGAATGCATGTATATGGGGATCCGCCCAGACGCCGGTCCTTCACAGCCGTGTTTGGCGAACGAGGGTCTATGGGTAAAGGTCTGCTGGCGACGAGTTAGTCATGTTATGGGATGAACAAGAAAACCCAAGCCGAATGCTTACGAGTTCAAGTACTGCTCGGCAACTGCATCCGAAAGCTTGGATGGTGCGCGTAGTAGTCGGGTAGCAACCAAAGTTGAGCACTCAACTCAATGCTCGTGCGCAGATTGCAAAAACAAAGGCGCGTTTCCAATCAAGCCACTCCAGTCGCGTCTCGCAGGGCGTCGTCGTTGTCGCACTCTTCAGCTCTACAGAGAATGAGCGGCAGAGGGAGAGATTAGAATACGATTATCTCTCTTCTTCTATGCTAAAGCGCTTGGTACTTGGCAATGACGTTGGTTGGCTCCAGGACGGAATAGCCATCGCCTAATCGGACGCCACCGAGATTCAACAGCCACACCGTTGCTGCATCCTGCATGCCGAAGGTTCGCCGAACATGCGAGAACACTGCCGCTCTTTCAAGAACTATTCTACATTGCGAGTCCAGCGCGAAAAGCGTTGAGAAGCAGTCAACATCGCAGCTTCTTCTTTCTCCAAAAGCTGGGGGCGGAGAGCACTTCGCTCCGATAGGCC